AAGTGGATGACGAAGATATTGTTTTTGAAGATTTCGCCAGATTGAGAGTGCGAGCAGCAACGCAGGATCAGAACGATGATATTTTTGAGGCTTGTTGAGTACTGCGAATTTTCAGGGCCTATGCAGTTTGTTCTTTGATATCTATCTTAACCACATCGGCAGTACACTTACTTTAATCAACTGCAGTTCACAGCGCAGTCCTCCACCTGTGGGGCTTAAAATCTCCCTAGTTGCTTTGACCAGTGCTGTATCGTCTGGTGCTTAGTATCCTGTTGATCCCGGATCTGCCTTTCTCCTGGAAGGATTTTTTCTCAACAGTTCTTCGGGACGAATGGACTTGCACTGCTTTGGCTGTTTCGAAGATGCCATTGTTTTTGCGTTAAGCAATATCATCGTCTAAAACACTGCCACTGCTAGAGCAGGATGAGATTTCTTGCTGAATAAGAGATAGGTAATAAATATGCAGTAAGATGATTATCGCATGATTGTAGCATGAAAATAATATGAAGAACGTAGAAAAGAAGGCAAGAATAGAATGAACTGTGTAATGCAAGAGGTAGAAATATTGCTGGTATAGGAAAAATAAGTATGTGAGAGTTAATACGTTTCGATCCATGAAGTCATATGCGTCTTAGCTCAACACCGCGACTGGACCTCGTCAGTATGACTAAATTTATAGCACCAGTAAGTCAAGTTTTGAAATATGTACAAAGATCAAACTCGAAAGAATGTGGGAATGATTAATAAGCTGCTTGTTTTTCGAGAAATTTCCGAACATTTTTGCCTAATCAGTGCGCATTTGTTAACTTTAAATGTTATCTATCAGTCCAAACAGCAGTTTCGAAATTATTTTTGCACGTTTTAACAGAGTCGGATATCTATATCCTTTCCTGATACGATGAGTCAATTTAGATCTAAAAATCGGCTAATCCCGGATTAAAATTTTAAAGGTTTTTTTTTAAAAAATATTTCAAAGCTTGAGCAATTTTGGATTTTGTCTTTCGAGCCTCTTTGTCTATACAGTGATCAAATTCAGATTGATTTTGCATATTTTATCGGCCCCACTACACAAATTTCACCTTTTTGGTTGTATATGTTCCCCTTTAGTACGTCTGGATAACTCTTACTTCGTGCTGGTTGAGACATATCGTTTTTCTTTTTCTTTTTTTGCATGTTTTCTTATGTTGTACAAATAATTGCTGATAGCTATTGTTAGCTCTCGGAATATCAACGGGTTTTTTTCGTTTTTGCGAATTTATTTTTATTGTTATTTAACTTATATGTGTAAAGAATTTGTGTTGTATGAAAAATGAATGTTTTTCATGTTAACACAGGTCAAGCATTTTTGTTCAACTTGCTCAGTAAACTTCGCTTGTCTCAATCAGTGCAGCTTTTTATGCCGGAAACAAACCCTTCAACAGAGCATTCATAAGTTTGTGCAGTTTGTCGGACGTTCCTTTCTTTCTTAGCCTTTTGTTAAGGACAGCCTTTCCCTCCTTTATGCACTGATTTACCAGATGAAGCTTTTTTTTGTCGAGATTTTTCGCCAAAATGCGTTTGTATAAGTACATAGAAGCGCGCATTTGGAGTCGCGTAAGCACTTTTTTGGACAAAGACCCTAACATAAATCCCGTTTTCAAAAAAAAAAAAAAAAACTTCGAAGTGGTTGAGCTGGAATACTTCCAGTTTCAGGAGGTATTCCACTTATCGGTTTACGTCCTGAAAATCGGAAATCCTCGTTTCGAGAGACTATGTCCTTGGAATTTGTTTTGTTCAGTTTGGCAGTTTGTTCACTTTTTGTGAGATCTTCGAAAAGCATAACAGTCTCGCATTTTCTGCATATCATTTTTCATTATTCTGACTTGTTTATGCATATTTTGAATTTGCAATGCGGTATAATGCTTACTTTATTGATGATAGCAATTATAAAAATAATTCAAACCGGGCATGCATATTCACCTTGTTGTATACGAGTGCTTATGTGATTTTCTCCCGGACAATTGGTATGGGGATATTGTTAAGGAAAGCACTCGGTAAAAAGAAAGCCATAACGAAGGAAATCATTGGCGACGGGCACTGAGGGGCCCCGTGTGATCATGCGTTTTTGCAGTGTTTCGTGCTGTAATAAGATTACTCGGAAATCCCCTAGCTAGAAACCTCTTGTACATAGTGGTCCTCGAATTTCGAGAACTTAATTATCCACGCTATTGTTGGACATGGAACATTCCCTTGAAATCCCAGGTTCCCAGCTTTCTCAGTTCCCGAGTTATCCAAATTGCATCCAAAAGATTTCACGGGGCCGTGCGTAGCCACCACGCACAGCGGGGGGCTGAATTTGATAAATTCAAGTTGTAGATGAGTTGAGAACATTTCCTGAAAATTTCATCCTCCCAGCTTCCCTGGTTCTGGAGTTATTCATCTTCCCGCTAAAAATTTTCACGGGGCCGTACGTGGCAGCCACGCACATTGGGGGCTGAATTTGATAAATTGAAGTTGTAGATGAGTTAGGGCTATTTCCTGAAATTTTCAGCCTCCTAGCTTCCCTGGTTCCGAAGTTATTCATTTTCCCGCCAAAGATTTTCACGGAGCCGTACGTGGCAAGCACGCATGGCGGGGGGCTGAATTTGATAAATTGAAGTTGTAGATGAGTTGGAAACATTTCCTGAAAATTCCAGCCTCCCAGCTTCTCTGGTCCTGGAGTTATTCATTTTCCCGCCAAAAATTTTCACGGGGCCGTACGTGGCAAGCGCGCACATGGGGGGGGGGCTGAATTTGATAAATTGAAGTTGCAGATGAGTTAGGACCATTTCCTGAAATTTTCAGCCTCCCAGCTTCCCTGGTTCTGGAGTTATCCATTTTCCCGCCAAAGACTTTCACGGGGCCGTACGTGGCAACCACGCATGGCGGGGAACTGAATTTGATAAATTGAAGTTGTAGATGAGTTGAGAACATTTCCTGAAACTTTTAGCCTCCCAGCCTTCCTTGGTTCCCGAGCTAGCGATTTCCGCGCCAGGAACCCTCAGGGGGCCGTACGCGGGAACCACGAACCTCCGGGGCTGAGTTTGAAATCTTTGAGTTCTACTTGGACTGGAAACATAATCCCAAAATTTCAGCTTTCTAGCTTT